TGCTGATATAGGACGATATATCTGTCTTCTGCAGGCGTCGTACTTCTAACACGACCTCCCCCGTGCCGTCTACTACACATTCCAGTAGTTTTAAATGACTTCCACAGCCGTGAAACAACGCTGTGAGCGATGTCGAACTCCCTGGCAACATCTGTTATTTTTCGCCCTTCTTCGATCTTTCCAATAATTCGGCCACGCATAAATGCATCTATGTGATGTCGGGAAGACATGCCAAAAATTTTAAGTTCGTCTATTAAATCTTTCCTGTAAAACTTTGACTTTAATTAACAACTGCCCACACGCGTCAAAACCTTTAAAGCTCTTATGAACGCTATCACGTGATGAACAGACGTGGAAAAAAAATTTGCCTACTCATAATTCTTCTTACTAATATCCCGCACTTATTCTAATTTTCCACATTTTGCTTCCTTTCATTTTGTGGTTGCTATGGATGATAGTGTTATCCGTCTTTAGCAATTGTCCAGCAGTGTAATAGGTCTCCAGTTATAGTCCAAAGATTTCGTTAGTTTCTACATTTGTTGTCTCGTGAACTCTATTTTCTTTCTTCTTTGGCATTGTAGGTTTTAGAACTTTTGCACTTTTATTTTATTATACTATATATATATATATATATATATATATATATATATATATATATATATATATATATATATATACAGAGTGTATTAGTGCAATGGATGGTTACAAATTTTCATGACAGATTGAGTACACTTAGACGACGGGAAATCAAAAAACAATATATGGTCGGAAAAGTTTTCCTGGAGTGGTAGTGACGAAACAAAACACAAGACAGGAATAGAATGGAATGAATAGAAGAACGAATAGAAGGAGAACACCTAGTCCCCCCCCCTTAGAACAGCAAAAATGCTGGGGTCTTTGGCTGGTGTACGAGATAGATGGTGCAATGTAAACCGAATCATTGAATGTCAAATGCATTGGTCTACTCGATCGCCAGACCTCAGTTGCTTCAATTACTTCTTATGTGGGTGCGTAAAGTCACTGGGGTACGAAACTTCCGTTAGAAGTGTTTAGGACCTTGTTGCATGCATCGCGGCAGCTGTTGGGGAAGTCCGGGACATGCTTGGTATTTTCGCTAACGTTCCATATTCAATGCGCCGGAGAAGTGAGGCCTGCATCTCGGTCTTGGGTCGTAATTTAGAACACCTACTTTGATGATGATCGTTGTCTCATTAATGTGCTTTCTTCTTAGTTTTTTGCTATTATAAGGATGTTAAACACTTTTCCCCCTCTTCTTTTTGACCTATCTTTCTTGTGTTTTGTGCAGCGCCAGGAAAGCGTATTCGACCATGTATTGCTGTGTGATTTCCCATCTCGCATAGGTGTTATTGATATTAAAAAAATTCCGTTTTCAAGTTATCTGACTTACAAATTTAAAACATGCAAAAGATATTTCTTCCGTTGGAGTAGAAATCCACAAAGAACGAGTTTTGATTCAACGAGTGATTATTAATGTCACACTATTCATCTACTCGAGGGTTTTCAGCGACGGAACTCGTAATTTTGAACCATGGTCAAGTGACGAGGATGACACCTGAGCTAGCACCCCCTCTCCTAACTTCCACAATACACAACGGGAGGATGTTTGATCCTCGACATATTTAACGTGAATCGCCCCCCCTACGCAGCAGGTTTTTGGCAGGACTTGGCTCAAACTCATGACACGTCGGTCACGAGTCCGTCACCTTGACCACAAGGCTACCGCGGCCACCAGGTTTTGAGGAAATGGAATCTGAATGAGGGGAGGAAATGTCATAGATAAAAAGAAAGATACCCACTTTTGAATAACTAAACTTCCAAATTTGGGTATTTGACCAGCATGTTTCTTTTAATAATAGACATCCGCTAAAAATGTGGTGTTTAAGAAATCGATTACAAGGCAGAGAGAGAGTTACGGGGGCATGTAAGTGAAAAAAAACTCGTCCGTTTTAGAAATTCAAATTCTGTGCTATTTTTTAATCAAGAGGCGAGGGTTAAAAGAATGTTTTAGAATACAATCTAAAGCTTATTGCTAGGACTTAGATGGCAATAACCTAAACAAGTAATATAAAAAAAAAATTTTTTTAAGTCAATTCCTACTTAGATCAACAAAGAAAATTTTGATTTTGGCTAATTTTTATTAAATTGTTAAAATTAATATAAATATAAACATATTAATATCGTATTGTCATCCGAAACAATCGTGTATATAAAATTTCAGTTCAACTGAATGCTTTAAAACGTGAGAAAAAAAAACCTTTTCAAGTTTTGACACAAATGGCTAAAGAGATCGCTAAGTCGACAAAAATGATGCCAAAGTGGTTGTATTTGTAATTCTTTAAATAATTAGTTTTAATGAATTAATTTTTATTAATTATAATTAAATTATTGTATCGTTATTCTAGATAACCATGTACATAAAATTCCAGCTCAATTGAGCACTTTAAAATGTTTTTTATTAACCGTTGAAAATTCCACCAAGATAAATAAATATACAGAGAGTGTGAGCTAATAGTAGGAATTGAAAAATGAATGTATAGTCTTGCAATATGAAATTCTCAGCGAAGCGGGCGGGCGAGAAATGGTTAGTATATCTGTATGAGGAACGTACACACACACACAGTTGAATTCCCATCAGTTTTTTTACACGGTTATTCCAATTGAATAACACATTATGCTGCTAATTTGATTTAGCGTGATATGCGCCAAGTTGCTTACGTTCGCCAAGATGGGCAAAATCATTACAATATGGTTACCTTGATATTTTTATCGTCTGACAATATAATTGCCATGGAGTTAACGTATATTTAACTTAATTTTTATTGTATTTTCCCCTAGGTAACCTTTGTAATTTCTGACGAATTTAATTGGATTCCTTAAAAAATGTAACCATTTTCCATTGCATTTATTCTTCAAGACAGCTACTTTGGTTTTCTGTTGTAGTTTTTCCTATTTTCGAATATGGATAGTTCCAATATCATTGGCGAGTGCCAAGATATTTTTTTTAAAAAAACTATGATGCATGTACTGTTAATTATTGCTGTATTTCTCGTTTTTAAACTTTTCAAAATTTTTAATAATGCATATTTAAAAGTTCCTTGTTCGATACAATTCATTAGAGAAACTCGCAGTTTTTAGAATATAACTGAAGTTATATCACAGAAATTTTTAATTTATATTCTCATTATTAGTTTTAATATAATTTATGTAATTATTTTATTTATAATATAATATAAAATACAATTATTATAATATATAAAAATTATATATATCCTTTACTTATAATTATTTTTTATTATATTTATTTATAAATATTATTACATATTATGTTGTTCATTTATATAATTATTATGTTTTTCATATATATGACTATTGCTATATAAAATTATTATTATGTTACATTATGATCATTTTTCTTTTTATAACTACTATTAAATTTTATGTTATTATTATTATTATAAATAATAATCAATATTATATCATATTTTAAGATTATACATAATAATTACTATTAAATTATATTATACAATTATTATATATTTCATATTATTATTAGTAAATATAATTTTTAATATATTATAGTCATATTCATTTTTGATTGATCATGGTAATGTATTTTTATATCCTTGATTTGAAATATATTTCAAAACAGTTCTTCAAAATTATTTTCCTGACGATTTGTTACCGCTAGACCACCATCTTGGATTTCATATCACTCGACAATAAGCGTTGCTTGGTGCGAGGCACCCCTATATCAAATTAGTTCCCACTTTATATTTCAGTTTATAAGGGTTTTTGAGGATATGCAACATATTACACATTTTACTGCATAAATCATATTTATTTATTGCCAGTTTTCTTTCCAGTTTTTCTTGCCTGGTAAAAAAGAAGAGGCCGAATTTGAAAGAAAAATACGTTAACACGTATGAGTGTTGTCATAAAAATATTTTTACTTACTCATAATAAAATTGATTTCTTAAAACGCTATGCAGAGAAAAAATAGCTCTCTATTCTTATAATCAAGCAATAGCTATCAAAGGATCTCGCACGATGATGTTGATTATCTCAAAAACACCCTTCATCCGAATCCAATTTATCTCAAAAACCCATTGATTAGAGGGGAAAGGCAATGCGGGTGGGCTTGTTATCGCTACCACTCATAAAAAGCTTCAATTTAATGCGCACTAATTTGGCACATCCAGAGACGGAGATAGGGATGGACGGCTGCTTATTATTTTTCTAATAAAATATCATATTCTGCTTTATTAATGAGCAAAGAACGAGGAAAGCTAAGTATGAAATTACTTGAGTCGCATCATTTTGCTCTTAGTGGTGTTAAGTAATGGAAATTGCGAAAGATGAGGTAACATGATCAACTTATTATCTCAAATTTCGACTGCACTGCACGACTGCTTTAATTTGAATGGCGAATTTTTTCCATTTCGGTTTTTCAATCCAATTGTGTTTGGTTGTTTCTTATTTTGCATTGTATTTCATAGAATGTTATTCGCTTAAATGCATTCAATCTTCAGGTTTCTAATCTAGATGTATTATTCATGGGACAATTATAAGCATTATTGTCAGTGGTGCACACAAGGAAGGGGGGAGTCCCCATCACCCAGGTTTTTTTGAAATTATAATCCTATGTATATAGTACGTAAAATTTAATTAAGTATTTGTTATTATTTATTTTATTAATTAATGCTCATTACTTATTCAATATAATTGGTTTTTCAATTCCTACTATTAGATCACACTTTCCCTATATATATATATCTTGATCAAGTTTTAAATTGTTAAAAAAATACTTTTTATTCATTCATTTTGGTTCAAATGCATTTTTTAAAATTTATAGTGGATGGCACTTGGTGTTAATACATATTTTCAAATATTAATTCATTAATTAAATCAAAAATGAATAAATAGTAAACAAAAATAATAGTCCAACATCATACAAAAAAGGAAAATGCTCATTGTGTCTCTTCAGAGCAATGGATAGCGCGTTGAACTTCTAATTTAAAGGCCGTGGGTTCAATTGCCTCCTGGGAAGGCTAGATTTCTGAGAATATGAATTCGTTTCATTATACTGTTTTATTAGAATTAAATTTAATTAGTGAATAAATAGTAACAAAAAATAGAATAGAAAAATAGAATACACCCCCTATATATAGAAAGGAAAATCGCTTTTGTCACATAATACCGTAATTCTGTTACATGTATATACATATTTATATTAATTGTAACTATTTAATAAAAAGTAGCTAATATAAAATTTTTCTTTGTTGACCTAAGTAGGAATTAACTTAATTTTTTTTTATTTTACATTATATACTTGTTAATTTTTGTTCTTCCCGTCAGTCGACAGAATCAAAAGAATGTGTTTGGCGGCGTATTGGCGTATGATTCAAGAATGGTGGATTGTCGACCCTCAACACCCCCTTGAAAAATTCCCGCGTGTGCCCCTGATTATGGCTAGTACTTAAAATAATTTTATCCAGCTACAGATTTGTATTGGATGATTTTAGTCAATCTGGCTCCTCGGCTCTCACATCAGCAGTAAAGTATCGGCAGTCTCGTATAAAAACGATATTATAGTAGTACCTCACTTCCACATCAATGCATTGGAGGGATTTGAAGCTTAGTTAAATTTAAAAACCAGAGAGAGAGAGAGAGAGAGAGAAATACCTATTATATTCCTCAAGACAACATTTGATAATATTACAATACGAAACTAACTAATGGCATTGAAGCTTGTGACTGATACCGCTGAGATACTATAGCCTTGATAAAGATTTGATTTGATTTTATGTCGAAATGTGAAGCAACATGATGACTATAGATAACAGATCCCTTAATTGAGAACCATGGATAAGAGATAAGAACGACATCTGGCACAGACGAACAACACCCCCACTCCGAACTTCCTCATCAAACCAATACGATAACTTTGAATCTAGACAGGTTAACAAGCATCAGCCTCTCTACACAGGGGGTCTTTAGTGGCACTAGGTTTTGAACCCGAAAGTCGACAACGCCAAATACAAGTTTGTGATTCGCCAACACCGGCCGATCATTGATTAAGAACAGCTCTTTAGATAGTCGACAAAATAATAAACATTCCTACTGAGAAACAGAAGTGATAAAGAAGCATTATAGTGTGATGAATTCGACCGACAAATTCAGAGGGGTCAGAGAAGGTAGCATGGGGATGACAAATAACTATAAAACAAAGGCTCGCAAACCACGTTTAGTCGGAGTAATTCGCAAAAACAGTTATGAAGGGTGTGACGTCGAGAGGAATGAAAAGGGGTAATAAGAGGTAAAAAAAATACATTTATTATACGTAAAGCATGTTTACAATACAAACAATGCATCACAGCTCGACTTCAGAAACGCAGCGACAAGTGATTGCCACGGGAATCGTTCAAAGTTACGGCCACTTAGGTCATAGCACAGCTGACACAGAAGGACGGGTTCGCGTCTGACTGACCGAAACATTTGATCATGCACCTCAGCGCCCAATGTAACGAAAACTGAGCGGGACACAGTAGGACTTGGCCCTCATGGGCTGTTGTGCCACTGAGTTTAGTTTATAATAATTATTTTTAATAGAACTAGAGACTAACTCAATTCAAAACACTCATAGGCAAATAAACATTTTCTTATATTTTGAGTGAGTGAGTGAGTGAATATTAACGTCACACTGTTCAGCTACACGAGGGCTTTTGGAGACTGACATCGTAATTTTGAACCATAGTCAAGTGACGAGGATGACACCTGAGCTGGCACCCCCTTCTCCTAACTACCACACCAACGGGAGGACGTTTGAGCTCTTGACAGATTTAACGTGCATCGCTTCCCTACACAGCGGGTTTTTAGTGATACTGGGCTCGAACTCATGATATGCCTGCCATGATCTTATACCTTAACCATTGGGCTACCACAGCCTCCTTCTCATACTTTGAAGGAACAATTTTCATACGTATATATACTCGATACAAAACATAATGATTCCAATCTGCCAGAACATATCAATGTAATGAGAGTCTCTACAGATTTAACGAGTATCTGTCTCTCTATACACTGGATCTTGAAGGACGCCAGAACACGAATATACGACACGGCAGGAACAGTGTCAATCAAGACATTTCGCTACCATAACACACATAAAAGACTTTTTATTTTATGGCAGTCTCCAACCTTTCCGTCATAAGTCGACGAGAAGCCCAATACAGTAAGGAACTATAAGAACAATCCTTAAAGCAGTCAATAATTCTCAAAGTAAAACTGCTTAGAATATTAGGACATATATTGAGGTGATTCCCCAGTCATAGGTACGCCATGGTCACAAAGTGAACAGGAATCTGAATCTCATTCCCATTCCATACAGGTATATGTGAAAAGTCATAACCACAGTCTCAAGTGTAAAGCAAACCAGGGTCACTTCTTTACGCAAGCAACTACAAATTTTTGTAATAATTTTTTAAAAATTATGCTCCAAATCTAAACAATAATTTGTAAAGCAATTAATTCTTTTTGTTATTTTTTAAAAGCGTGTTTGTAATTTAAAATTTTAAAGATTTTCGTAATTTTACAATTTAAAATAATTATTTTTTCCCCTTAATGTAACATTATTAATATCTTTTTTTAGAACTGTTTATTACTACATGGCATTTTCATTCCATAAACTTTATACAAGCACACAAACATCAGTAAATAATCTATATCCACGAACTTCTAAATCCTGTTAGAAATCTGTTAGAAAATAAAATGATTCAAGTTTTGTAACAGTCCATTTTCGATTTTACTTAAATAGTCATTTTTAATTTTAAAAAGAATTTAACGCACCTTTGAGAAAAATTAACAGCAACGAACGAAACTGAAGAATTCTACTTTAATGTCGAGAACAAAATTCATAGGTTGTTGCAATAGCGTTCTTTATTTTTTGAGATATCTTAATTCAGCTCAATTCAATTTACCTGATTGTTTCTGCAAGGGATTTTGAACTACAATTAGATGACCATGTCGAGACCTGAATAGGCACTCAACAGCATGAGAACGACTTTATAACTACGGTATTTTTAATAGTCTTCAGCTCCGACCGATCTATTTTTATTCTTGTTGATCTTCAAGCAAAAAATCTTTTTCTTAAAAATATATGTCGACTAAAACCAAAAGATCAATTTCTTCATACATGAAAACTTTTTCAGCTGACAAAGATTTGCAAAAGTCCATGCCATAACATTAAATATTTTCTTCTCACTGGGATCTGACTTCAAGTCACTAAGTTCAAGCTGTAGTTCCTAAGGTGCTATATCAATTTTAGCAGTAATAGGATAACAGAAAATTTGAGTTTAGGCTCCATTTGCTTTAAAATTTCTTGTGACCTCGTCCTCCAAACTCTACAGATGATCTTTCTTAGCAAAAACACTTTCGGGTATTTTGTTTTCCCAAGAGTGAAAACTAAAATACGAATCTGATCGTTCACAGGAAAGAAATCTCTGTCCAGAGCGGATTTTTTTACTGTCTTGGGGGCCCGCGGGCTGCTAGTCGCGAACCCTGTATTAGGTAACAGTTTGCTGCGCAAGCTATCACATTGCAGTGCATTATTATTATTTTCTCCTCTCCAGAAAACAATAATCCCACACCTTCCATAAAAAAGAAATTTCCGAGTGTTCTTTTTGGAACTCTACAGGAACCCTATTTCGATTTATTTGGTACTTTCGATTGGATTTTGATTACTTTCAATCTTCTGGCAAAGAAGATTGAAAGTATAAATCGACCATGACGAAAAGAACCTTGCCTCCGAGTCTTCTACAAGCGAGTTCATTTAATGGCAGGGGGAGCGGATGTTCGTTGATGGTTTATTAACTTCACACTTAGCAGCAACATAAAAAAAAATCTTAGAAAATTGTGTGAATTTATGGCTATTTCCACGTTATTCATTTCAATGAAGAAAATAACAATAGAAATTCATAATTTTCAAGTTTATTTATTCTCAATCAACAGACCAAAATTTCTCGCCAAAGGAATTGCATCACCATTGAAGTCATTCCAATAAAGTCCAGCTGTAAACTCTGTTGAATTGCGAGGTTCCCTCTTAAATAAGTCAGAGAATTATTTGAAAGACGTCAATCCGAAACTCCCCCTACATATCTTAGATTAAAAGAGTAACAATTTTTTACAGTAATACCCCGAACTTACGCGGTAGGTGGGACTCAGTGATAGCCGCGTTAGTCGAATTCCCGTAAGTCGTGGTATATAATTCGGCATTTAAATACCTATAAATTACTTTTAGTTCGGGCCAGAGACGAAAGAAAATAATAATTTAGAAAAAAAAATGTTTAATAAAATCTTATATAACACAAATACAAAATCGAAGACCGAAGTAATTTGGATATAAAAGTTTCCATAAAAGCTAACAAAATAATCTGCCGGTGCAAAGATTTTTTTGTCGAACAAAACTTTTTCATAGCTTGGTAACATTTTATTTTAATTCCTTGTTTTACTGAAAAAATACGCTCCTCGTTGAAATCTATAGTTTCTAAAATCCGCAACCTTTTTTTCAATTAAACTGCTATTTTCTGTCAAATTCCCAACAACATATTTCGATCCTCTGAGTGATTTATAGTTGTTGTTTCTTATGCCAACTGATTTCGAATGTGTCAGATCCAGGCCCTCGAAACTCATCATTGCAAGGGGATAGATGTACGCCTGTCGTAGCTTTGAGCCCCATACAGGTGACAGTACGATTTAGCTCGGTTCCCTCCCAATTTAGAGGGAAAACACCCTGGGGGTGGGGGTCAGGGACCTCCCACCTCTCTTTTCTTTCCACCAACCCCATTATGGACTTGTGACTCGACAGCTATTTAGAGTATCCCCATGCCGCGAACGCACTATACGTTTACAAACATCCATGCCTTCTCCGGGATTCGAACCCAAGCCCTAGGGTATAGCAGCCAACATCGTTAACCACTATACCGGTTGGGCTACCTTCTGATTGAACTGGATCTAAAGACTCAAATTCTTCAATGTCTGTCTCATGTGTTT